ATTATTATTATTATTATTATTATTATTATTATTATTATTATTATTATGAAATTAAATCTTTAGAATTTGTACATTTTATAACATTTATAAATACAAGTCATTTTTTGTACCATGGAGAAAATGTTTACATATTTATATATCAAAACTAATTTAATTTAATTTTCATCATTTTAATTTTAATTATACAAAGTTTAGAACCTCTTGTATAATTAAATAATATGATTTATTATAAAGTATTTTTAAGATATCACATTATGGTTTAAAATAAATAATTCAATTAATAAATTAAGTTTCTGTTTAAAATTAATTTTTAGATGATAAACTGTCTATAATAAATATTATAAAACACCTCTTTATTAAACTTAAATTTTACAGATGTAAAATTTTTCATTCTCATATATATATTAAAAAAAACTATCACAATTGTGCTAAAATATAAGAATTGTTGTTTTGATGATTAACTCGAAGTATTAACCAATAACAATCCTTAAATTGTTTAATAAATAACACAAATAAAAATTTGAGCTAAAACATTATTTACTTATTTATTTATTTTTAAATTTATTTAAACAGTAAAATGATTTAATGCTTCAATAAGAAACATAATATTTTTAAAATATATAATATTCAGATGTCTTATGTATGAATAAGTGATGAAATATTGTAATTTGATTTTATCTCATTGTGCATTAACAACCACCTCAAGTTTTACTTGGTTTATACATAATATGAACGATTGAAATTTTTACAATTAAAATTTACACATAAGTCTACTTAACTCTTATATTAATAATTTTAATATGACTTCAGATAATCAACGTTTCTATAAAATTAAAATTATTTAACTAAGTTTCTCTTACCTTTTCATTCCTGAATTTAATGTTTCATCTCCGGAATTTACCTAAAATGTATATTACAAATTTATTATATAAGTATTTTAAAAGATTAATATAAATATCAAACTTTAATATACAATATCTTTCAAACTCTTTATTCTTATCATAAGATCATTACTATAGTTTCATTAATTTTCTAATATAACAATTATATATATGTTCCTTCAACTTTTCTTCAGATTAATCTTAAATCTTTAACCTTAAATGCTCTAGATTTTAAAAAAAATCTCTAATACCAATTACACCATCTTATATGTACTTTATATATTATTAATGCAACTTCTATCCATTTTCTCTATTCAATCCATTCTATATAATGAGTAAATTGTAGTTTGTTTATACATAATATTTAAACTGCATAAATTATAAGGCTAACTTACATACATTTAAATTATTGACTTAAACATTTAGTTTATTTTCTAACATTTGTATTAATAGAAATTAGTTTAGAGAAATTATAATTAGTAATGAACATATAAATAGTATTAACAACAAGATATTATGCTAAATCTATACAATTTAGAAAACAATAATAAAACAAATATTATAATTCAGATAAGTTTAACTAAAACAAATTATACCCTCATATATATTTTACATTATGATTATTACTTACAGATGACTTTAGCTGATGATTCAACATGTTATCATTTTTAGAAGTACTTGGAATTTTATCTAATTCGTTTAAAGTTTTGTCCGATTTTTCAGGTTTATGAAACATGTTGACATTATTCATATCATCATATTCTATTGAATCTCCTATAAAATTTTTAACTGGTACATCGATATCTATGTCATTGTATGATCCAGTCTGTAAAGATAAAACATAATTTTTAATAAATCTTTCCTCATACAAGTTACAAAATTATAGATTTTGCAAAACATAAAAAAATAAAATAAAATATCGGTAAATGGACTTCATCAATGAAAATAAGACAATTTATATTCATAATATTAATTATACATATATTTGCAATAATGAATATTAACTTTCTTTGCATACATAAAATAAAATTTTAGTTACAATATAGAAGTTTTATAAAGATTGACTTAATTGACTACTGTAAATGAGATATTTAACACTTAATATTAAATATCTCATTTACAGTATTTATTAATATTTTCTGTAGTGAATTATAAAAACCACTATATATGAATGTTTATATTTTTTTAATTTTTTTATTTTATTTTTATGATTCTAATGCCTGACAGCTATTTTACAAATGTGTAATATAACTTAGTTATACGATATACAAGCAAATATCAGAGTAATATAGAATACCATAAAAATGTTATTTAGAACTAAATAACTCTTATCAGTGATTTATTTTTATTAATTTTATATATTATGATATACTTTCCGATACATTTTTATCAGTCAAAAAAAAAAAAAAATACAAAAAAGTTAATATACAATTAATATACCCATACAAAATACAAGAATAATTAAATCATTGATTAAATTAATAAATTAAATTTATAGGTTATATTTTTCTAATAGGTATCTGTTCATTTTTTATTAAAACTAATAATATTGTTAAATTCATTTAATTTTGAAAATTATTTTACCTTGCAGTCATTTTGTTCAAATGAAGCAACTTCAAACATACTTCTAAGTTTTTGATCAGCATCAGCACTGCATACATACAACTCACTCCACACAAGTACAGCAGATGCACATTGATAACATATTCTTTTGGGTAATACATCATTTTCAGAAATCTATAAAAAATATTCTATAATTTAATTCTTTTGATCATATTAAATTATGAATAAAAAGTATAGAATACGTTTAAAAATGGAAGATGAGTTCTAATTTTGTCCTCCAACATATGATCAACACCTTCATCAGCAAATATAGATACCAAGTTATCATCAATATTTGCACATAATCTGCAAAAGTCATTTGCAGTATACGTCTGCAATACATCTATTTCTTCATTATGGTCCATAACTTCATTCATTTTGATTTATTGTCTTCTTTGAATAACTTAATTAACAAATAAAACAATATATTTAAATATTTAATAATTAAATAATAATTAGTAGAACTCAGAAATTGTTGCATTTGAAATTTGTTACGTACAAGTATGAAGTATAAGCCTAAACATTTTTGGCATATTTATTGCAATTTATGGCACTTTTTTATTTAATAGTAATTATGTTAACTTTCCTCGAAATTATATTTTAAAATTGAATTGAAAATAATTTTATACATATTTTCAATGTCATTCACATAATTTGTGAATGTAATTTTTTTTACAGAGTACATTGATGGTAATTAGAGGTTGGTCAGATGCAACAACCGAAAATGTCATTTCATAAAACAATGCCATGTTAACCATCAATAACATTATCTTATGATTATTAAATATTAATTTTTCCTTAATCAACACTGAAATTAAAAAATCAGAACGTAAAAAAAATTAGTCAGGTACCTAAAAATTAAATTAATAAATGTATAATAAATATGTTAAATAAGTAAGAACATGATAAATTAGTTAATTGCTCAATGTAATTATTAGTACCTTAGATGCAAACTATAAGTATACAATCTTCATGTAAGATCGTTACATAATAAAGGTCTTAAAAGAAAGTTTTAATTATGACCCATGAAATTCCCAACGGTAATGAATATAAAAGTAGTTGAAAAGGTAGAAAATAATGAAAATTGGAAATAGTAAAACCTCCCATATTTAACAGTATTGGTAAAGTGGTAAAGTTTTGGCATGGTGAACTGTTGAAAAAATAATTTGTCAAACAGGTATTGGATCAAGAAAGTATAGAGAAAAAAAGATAGGTAGCAGAGAAACCAAACACTTTCCGGATTATAGTCTCGGTTTTGGATACAACCAAGTGTTGATGTTCGTTCGTGTTCTTTGTAAGTGGTCATACTTGAAAAATTGAACATTCAGATTGTTTGATAAACGAAATATTAAACGAGTTCGATACACCGTCTTTTGGGTGCATCTATCAAAAAATAATTGTTGTACGATCATTAGGACGCGCAAACATAATTGAAAAATCGCGGGCGGTGCTGGCGAATCGATTGGTGACGCCACGCAATAATACACGAACGGCTCGTCAACGCTACACGAGAACACGAGCGAGAGATGAACGGGACATGCGGACAGCGGCGGTGGGCGGGGGAAAGGAACAATTGGCGGGCATGTAGAACGCGAACAGACGACACCATGACAGCCGACAGTGCCGCAGCAGTCGTCGCGAGACAAAAAAAAAAAAAAAAAAACGGGCGACGCGGCGGCATTACGGATAACTGACGTTTTGCGAAACGGTATCGTTGAACGCGCGGACACAACGACGTGGAATTGAAAAATAAAAAAAAAAAAAACTCACCCGAAACGGATCCTTGGCCGCCGGTGGCTGTAGCGGATAGCGAACGGTCGATTCGTCGTCGACCGTGTGAACAGCGGGACGCCCGTTCACATGATCCCTGTGCCGGTGGCGGGCTCGAACGTAAACGGTGCGCGGTCCGTCGGCATCGTACGTCGTGTTGCGTTCGCTCCGGTCGGGATGATGGTGGTAATGGTGGTAGTGATGGTGGCGGTGGTGGTGGTGGTAGTGGTGGTGGTGGTGGTGGTGTTGGTGGCGGATGGGGCGGCGGTGGCAGGTGGTGGCGACAGTTGTGGCGCTGATGGGCGCGCGCGCGCGAAACGAACACGTAGATAATGCACCCCGTACGGCGTGTGTCCGTGCGGTACGGCGGACGTGCTGATCGACGGGCGCTGCGAATGTTACTGTTCGCGGGTCGTAGAAATAGCGGGCGCGGACGGGCGGGCGGGTGTGCGCGGGCAACGGCGGCGGTGCACGACAACAAAAACGCCAACCGCTCGGGTCGAGATAAATATATTGCGTACAATAATGTACCGAAAACACGATAAATATGGCGGACCAGTGTGATCGTGCGTCGTCGGGTTCGCGCGCTGCCGGTGGGGAACGAGTGTACCGGAGCCGCAGTGAACGCGAACCCGGCGGCAGTGGCGACGACCATCATCACGTTGGTTCGACCGACGCTCGCGCACCGGAAGTTCTATGTCACTACAATATGTCGTCGCACTACGAAGTCACCGGATCCCGCGCAATTTCGAACACGCATCGACCGACATCGTACGCGTACCACGTTTTCCTACATTATACGTAACCGCCTGCTAAACGATGCCATCTTAAAATTGATTCACTAGCTGTGCAAATAAAACCTACGTTGAGTAGATCTTGAAATGTTTCGCGAGAATTTTATTTTAATATAATTAATACCACATGCATACGTATACAGCATAGAGTCAGGGTCGGCGTTAGGGCGAGGCAAAACGGGGCATTTGTCAAGGGCCTCGCGCTTAAAATTTTCATTGAAAAATATTTTGTACGGAAATATCATAAAATAAAATGTGTGGATCGCCTGGCAAGTGCAATTTCTAGAGAAATCCGTTGGCGTGTAATAAAAATCCAATTAAAAAAAACAACTATATTATATTTGTCATGTATGCACCAACGACGACCCGTACGACACGCCGCACAGTACGGAACCCGGGATACATAGGAAATTTATTTTATCACATCTCTTAAATTTAATCAGCCATTACCCGATATCGCGTGCAGTTATCACAGAGTCTGATTACATTTTATCGCCTTTAATTGCGGCCTACAGGCTATACAGCTGTATAATACAGGTGACTATTGTTGTGGGTAAGTTAAGTTTTACCCAGGGCCTCGCAAAAGGTAACGCCGGCCCTGCATAGAATAATATAGAGAAACCGTTATACATATCGCCTGTGTTGTTGAAGTGAAGCCAAATATTCGGTCATTGACCCTATCGAGAGTCCACTTACGTTTGTGTTGTACACTAGATCGCACAGTACTATATCGACCAATTTGTACTACATTTTGCTATCATCACTATAGTCTATAAATCATTGACAATTTATTGACCATGTAGTGATGCTTGTTTTATTTCGGGATTAAAACAGTTGAAAAAAATAAAATCAAAAGCTAAGTACTCGTTTTTAGAACGAATGGTTTTTAACGAAACAAAAACTTAATTATAAAAATACGAATAACAAAAACATTAATACTACCTCTCATATTCATTAATTATTCTAATCAAAATAATATTACTGTTTTTTAGAACATCATCAAACCATCAAAATGATTGAAGTTAATACCTATTATTAAATACAGAAATAAAAACAAAACACTATTAGCACAGAAGATTTGTATTATAATAACATTATAGCATTGATTTCATTATATATTGTATATATTATATTATAAAATCAATGGTTATAGAAAAACATAAATAAAAAAGTTTTTAATGGTAAATACGTCTTACAGATTCAATTGTATTTATATTATTATAATGTAATAATGTATCATGTTTTATTGATTTTTTTTGATTTTATTAATATTGTATTTGTTAATGCACTGTAATGTTTAAGATTTTTTATTAATTGTAATAGACTGAATACAATATCGATGTTATTATGACCAGGGCCGGATCTTAATTTATTAATACCTGAGGAAATGAAAAATCAATCTCTTAAAGTAGTATGAGTACCAACCATTTCCAACTATTTATAAAGCTATTCGCAGTATATTGGACCAGTAAATTATTTATCACAAATAATTCAAACGATTTTAATTTAAAAATCAAACATTTTGAATTTAAAACTAATCAAGTAATAGTTTTAGAAGTACTTCTTAAAAATTGTGTTATGCTATTGCATTGTGACAAATAGAAATTGAATTCATCAAACATCAAATGAACATAATCACTGTAAAAATGCAGTCCAAAGTGTCGAAAGATATGTACTAAGAGAAAACTGTAAACGCAAGGCAAGTGGATCTATTTCTATCCGACCTATTAAAATAATTCGAACAGAACTCTTAAAAAGCGTAAATTCAGAAGAAATTGAACATAGGCGATATACGGTCAATCAGAAAAGCCATGTATGACAAACGACGACAAATATACCCGGCTTTTCCAAAATCTTTAATTGAATCAATTGAACAACTCAAAAGTATGCACAATAATGATGTACTTAAATTTAAAGATGAACAATTTATTTTTGTACCCGATAACAAATTATTCGTTTGTATAACTACAGAACAAAATCTAAGATGTATGATTAATTCATCAGATTTTTTTGCCGATGGTACTTTTAATTACGCGCTGAAACATTATATTCAGCTCTATACAATTAATTGTTTACAAAATGGATTTTATATAACCGTGGTTTAATTTTTCTTGCCTGATAAATCTAAACAAACCTGCATTGACATGTGGTTATTTCTTCAAGAATTAAGTGAAAAATTAATTGTCAAAAGACTTGTTATTTGAAAGTTACATTTAGACTTTGAGATAAGTGCTCATGAAGCATGTAGAGAGATGTTCCCAAATGTAGAAATTCAAGCATGTCGATTTCATTTAGGGCAGTGTTGGTGGCGAAAAGTAAATATGCTTAAAATGTATTATTTCTTTATAAAATGCTAATATTCAACGTATTAACTTTACAGATAAATTCTGAACAGCGACTCCGAACAGCATATACAAATGACGACGAGTTAGGAAAATGGTTAAAACTATTTTTCGGGTTCCCATTTCTATTACCACATGAAATCGAAAATGCATTCGTTGAACTTGTATCTCTATGTCCTAACCTAAATATAGGATGTTTATTTTCTGATTATATATTGAAAACATACGTAGAAGATCACTGTTTATTTCCACCGAAAATTTGGGCTCAAGAGCCATCGGAAAATTCTCGGTATGTATAATAATATATAACTATATATGAATTTCTTGGAAAATTTTTTCTTATTATTAAATAATTATAATTATTAAGAAACATACTTGCTTAAAGTGTATAATATAAATATACATAAAGTATTTTAAACTAGAGTAAAAGATAAAAAATATTCAGATAAATCGTATCGCCAATTTGTTCATAACCACTAGGATTAATTTTTATGCGCGTGGCCTAAAAATAAATTTTAACATGATCGACTCTGTAATCGTCTGCGATATACCGGTCGATCAGTTTTATCATATAATTACATTAATCTTATATAAACGTTTTGTTTTCATTTATTTATTTATTTTACTATGTATTTTAAAGTACAACAAATGGATCTGAGAGTTTCCATAGAACATATAATGCCCAGTTTCAGAGTCCACACCCTTCAGTTCATTTGGTTATAGCAGTTCTAAAGTAAACACAAGAAGAGACTTGCACGAAAATAAGAACTGTGTCTAAAGGACGTTTGAATCAAATGGCCTTAGCCGACAAACAGCGATTACATCACACAATAACCGAACATAACAAATTTTAAATCATAGAAATATAATAAAATATTTATCAAGTATTTGTATTAATTACCAAGGTATCAAATTATAATTATTAAACCATTTACAAATTATATATTTTAAATGTTTATATTTTTTTATTTTTAAATGACAAAAATTAATTGATAATAATAAATAATAAATGGCAACGTTGCATGGAAAATCGTACGGAATCGTGCTTTACCAATTTCAGTATTTAATTTATTTTCAGTACCTGATTAACCAATTATTAAATTGGTTAAAATAATTTAAATTGGGAGCGCCAAAAAATAATTTTTATTACGAATGTACATAGTACGTTTCCATAAAATATACTTCAAATAAAGATAAATTTCCTCTCAATGTTTTGCACTCAACACATATTATTAAATTTTCATTATTAATCTTATATGGGATATGAGGGAAAATAATAAATATACAATTGAAAATTAAATATTATCGATAACGTTTTATTATATCTATGTCGTAATAATTGTGTTTTATCGTAGCCGATGTTGGGTATTTCTAATTTTACTACAGTGAAAGGTTTATTATTAAGTGACGAACAAGTGACGACAACATTTTAATATTACTTAAATATTTATTATTTTATTGATAGCATAAAACTCTGTTGGGACTGTACTTAGTATTCCTCACAGTGTTGCCAAATGGTACAATTCTAGTGGGTAAATACGATAATATTGCTCAGTGGCGTAGCAAGGGTATGGCGAACTATGCCTACGCCAGGGGCGCAAAATTATGCAAAAATCGTATTTTTATTTTACAATTAAATCGAAATTTTTTCATTATATTTTTTGAAATATGTAGACGTTATTTATTTTTACACACTATGTGTGAATTTAATGATGAAATTATCAAAAAAAAGCATTTAAATAAAAAATTTCATATGAAATCGATGAATTTACCAGTCATAAAGCGAGAAAAGCAAATTTTCAAAATTTAAAATTAACACTGTAATAATAACTTATAAGTATAAATTGTATACTTAAAAATATTAATAAAATTAAAAGTTAAAAAAAATATCATGACATCGTATTTTAATTGGTTAGAAAGGTAACTTTTTTTAAATTTTCCAGGGGTGCTAGAGTATTCTTACGCCATTGATACTGCTCCCTGTGTGACTCCACACCAATGTAAAGAATGGCGATCGTACTCAATACAATAATTTTTAAATTTACTCGTCTACGTTTTTACAATCGATTATTATTGATATTTCTAAAAAAAAAAAAAACAATATGTTCTAAATGTATAAATCAAATTACATTTCCCTAAGTTATTGGTTCTTGGAAACATAAGACGGACAAATAAAATTAATTCCAAAAATAGATACCATTGAGATTATATAATATGTTGATGTGTATTGTGTATACAATTATTACTATATATTATTATCCATACATCGTATTATTAGGTATTCGATTTCAAAGTACCTACAGTGCACTACTGCACTAGTGTCAGTGGAATTTTAGTTTATACTATTATCAATATTATACTATGATGATAATATTATAATTATCAAATCGAAAAAGCTATGATTGTGAGTGAGTTCCGCGTCCAACTATTGGATTTTTTTTTACGATCATTTCTTGTTAAATACGATAATTTTGAAGAGTCTATACAATTACCACTCTTTCGAAAGCTGGCAATATTTTACACCAGGATGAAATAAAGGTTCTTGCATTTTTGTTTATTGAAAGTCTTTCGCAACGATATAATCAAGGGAAAAAAATTTTTTGTTGATATAAAAGTGTAGTGTAAAACAAAAACTTAATTTTTAATGAATAATAATCACTTCAATAATAATTTGAACATTTTACATGCTTTTGTGTATTATTTTATTAAATATTGAAATATAAAACACGTTTTATTTTTAATAAAAAAAGTTTGAAGTTTGTACGTTTTCTACAGTCCTCCTATCCTACTCTGATCCGTCGTAAGGGCGCTAAATCAAATCTAGCCTACTGGCGGCTAACTCCTAAATCAGGCCCTGTTTATTTTATTTATTTCTTGTCATTTTATAATATTGATTTATTTGTGAAGGTTTATTATATTATTTCTTCGTGAATTTTGGTTTTATTTTACTTTAATCAATTTCGTGTTTTTTAATGGTTATTTGTGAATACTTAGTCTAAATATTTTGACATTGTTACTATGTTCTATTGAAAAATATGGACAAATTCGTTTTCCAAGATATGTAACATAACATACTTTTTAAATTATTTTATTTAAATTTTGAAGTAATTCATATAACCGAAGAAACTATTCAAGAACTCTTTAATATGCGATTTGAAGATAAATTTGGTATGATATGGAGTAAAGCTAATTTTATGAGGATAGATAATAGAATATGTTCCCCAATACTAAGAAGAAAACTAATAGTTCCTAAAAAACTTGGTGAAAGTTTAAAACAAAATAAAAATTGTAATGTTAAAGATCATTATAAAATAAACATATATTTCCAAGTTTTTAATACCTACTACAATAAGTGATATGAAAGAAAGATTTAAAGAAAATGACATACATATTTTAAACTGTAGGCAAAATATAATAGTAAATGAACAAATAAAAAATACTATACAATCTTAAATAAAATATATAAGGTCAGGCGATAATGCTGTTGGGTTTTCGACATTGGCAAAATTATATAAACCTTTTTGAACTATACTATCAAATTCAGCAGCATGCGAAAGAAGCTTTTCTTGTCTACGACGTTTAAAAAACTATTTAAGAAATACTATAGAAAATCTAGATTAAATCATTTAAGAATTTTACAAATAGAACGTGAAAGATTGTTAAATATTAATAACGATGAAGTCATAAAACAATTGACTCATCTAGAATACCACATCGTTCAATGTTTAATAATTTTTAAAACTTAATTGTTATCATTTAAATTCTATTGTTTATTATTATATTTTTTTTATAATACAAGTTATGAATTCATTTATACTTATGAGTAATTTTATGATATAAGTTATGAATGTATTAGTTATTAAGTACTAAAAAGTAAAATAAAAATTGTAATAACTAAGAGGTATTAATCATTACTATAAATACATTAAAACAGAGAACAACTGCTACACATACTGCTACAATTTTAAAATTATAAATAGTTGTAATTATTTATTATATTATAATTATAAAAGATTATGTGAGTATTAATTATAAAAAATTTAAATTTATAGATTTTAATAATATGTATTTGTATATAAGAAGAATTATATAGATTTATAATGTATTTTATATTAATAGAATATAATAATATGATTATATTAAAACATTATTTTATAATATTGGGGAAGTGGGGACTTTGTCCCCACGAGTTTGTGCACCCTGAATAACTTTTGCAATATCTGATATTTTTCCAGAATTACGCTGATGGAATAGTTGAATATAGTTTTAAATTATTCACAAATAAAGAACATTTACAGTGAATAAAAACAGATTTTATATCATTAAAAAACATTAGAAATAATAAATATCTTCCTTAAGGTACAAAAGAATGAATTGAAAACCTTTGAGATATATTAGTATCCAATTTTAGACACCGAGTTCTACCACTAAAATAAGATTCAAGGCATGATATAGAGAACTACCTACTAATTAATAGTAAATGATTTATTCCAAGGCTTAAATATGGTATTTATAAAACTCGTTTGCCAAAGAAGTAGATAAGTACCGGATAAAAAAGAAAAATTAAAAAGAAGATTAACAGGATGTGCAAGTGAATTATGGAATTTTTGAAATATTATAAGAGGTAGGTAATAAATCTGGACCAGAATTTGTATTATGGCGAATTGATCCTAAAGCTTCATAAACATTAATTAGTGTAATAGATATATCCGAAATATTTAGATAAATGTTAGTGTCATAATGTATATGTATGGTAGGTATATGATATACTGCTAAATTGTGAGACTGAATAAAATATTGAAAAGTATTTAGTGAACATATTTGTAGTATGTAATACGGTTCAGTGGCGTATACTATAGGAAGATTCTTTAGCGCTCCTGGAAAACATAAAAAAACGCCTTTTAATCAATTAAAAATTTGATTTATGATATTTATTTTAACCTTTAATTTTACTAATTTTTTAAGAATACAATTTATATTTATTAGTTATTATTAGGTACAGTATTAATTTTAAACTTGGAAAATTTGCTTTCTCGCTTTATGACTGATAAATTCATTGATAATTTTTTCATATGAAATTTTATTTTATATAAATTACCTTGTGCTAGTTTCATAATTTCATCATTAAATTCACACACAGTGTATACAATTAGCGAAAATCTACATATTACAAAAATTATAATAGAAAAATTTCAATTTGATTGTAGGATAAATATATGACTTTTGCAAAATCATGCACTTCTTTGAAATTCACGCCCTTGGCGTAGGCACAGTTCACCATAACCATACCCTTGCTACGCCACTGAAACGGTTTATCAACATAGATAATTAATATTATCATACACCATAACTTTAAGTAAAAACTAATTGGAACTATGAGTTTTAATATAATTCCAGATTTTTTTTCAATTAGACCGTTAGCTGAATTGGGTACTATATAAATGATCCTTATAACTTTTCTTAGATAAATATTTGCATTTAGCTCTAAGAACTTCATACTATTCGTAGAAATATTACATTGCTGTTGTGTGCGCAGTATATATATTAATACACCCATCTCGTCATTTAACGATCACACTGTTTATGAAACATTTATTTTTAGAATAGTAGGTATAGATATTTTTAGTTTTTAGTGTTTGGTTTTTGTCAGAAGTATACATAAAGTAAATATTCATGATTTTATAATTAATTACACATGAATTGAAGTCAACGATTTTTTGATTTAAGTACACGTGAACAAAAAACAAGCGATCACGTGAATCTTAATTCACTTTCGATTTCAAGAGCTTTAATTGAAACAAATTATCCATTATTTAACACACTGCTATTAAGCCATATTAATGTAATGTTAAGGAACAAACAATCGGATATCGTTTAATTTACAAATACTTCGAGAATTTAGATAATATCCTAATATTTTTATTCGAAAAGTACGAGTATGATTACATAGAATATTAACCGTTCGGGAACAAATTAGATTTTTTGAAAAAGAGATGAGAAACCATCATGAGAGATGAGAGTTGGTATATTTTGTAAACCAAATACTATCCTCGCTGTTTTTTTTCTTAGCTAATTCCGAACGTAGATGTTTCATGTGAGTCCTTTGGACTAACGCGGTGAAACCTGTCTTCGACAGGCTCTTTCGTATACAGAATCGGTCTGGAAACGATAGGTACTCGTTGAAAACAAAACATTATTTAGCTCCGAACTGTTTCGTCGTGGGACAGTTCTTTTGATAATAACCATACACTATATTGTAATGTTCACAATCTCATACTGATCGGGACTTAAAAAAAAAAAAAAAAAAAAAAAAAAAAAAAAAAACGAAAACAATATTAATTACCTACACAACACTCGAGCAATCAAGTTGCACATTTCGTGTGGTAGTTTATCTAGTCGCACCGACGTGCCGTTTATGTTTTATTGTAATCGCTTTAGAACGCAATCCGTGAAATTCTCGTACGCCGAGAAGAACGCAACAACAGTACCGTCCGTGCGAACGTTCAGCATTGCATAGAACATATGGCGTCATTTATCAGTCAGGTGGTACCACATGGGTAAACGTGGATGCCAAGTATTCGTAAGACCGCGAGTGCGAGTGAACGGTTCAATTGTGTGCAATTATATTTATTAACGGCAAGTAGTTTACCCCCAACACGACTCTACTATAACTCGCAACGTGTGACCGCCCGACCACAGTATTTAGTGTTTACTAGTAATACCATTGACTTTAGAATATTTATGTATAAATTCTAAAATCAACGGTACAACTACATCCACCGATACCGTACGCCTTGTACGTAAAACACTAAAAGATTAGTGCGAGTGCCGTGTGAACGCTAAACGCAAGGTGCGCAGGTACCGAGTGTTTACAGTGCCAGTGACAAGTGTTAATGATTGGTACTGAGCGCTCGAGTGTAAACCCGACATCAGAACGCGGTGCAACGGATAATACAACCGACGCAAATAATAATAAGCAAACGTTATTCGATCACTACAACTGATAACGCGAACAGTGATAGTGTCTTGCGAACGTCTTTATTGAAAAACACAGATATATGAATATTGTTATTTTTTTGTTTTTCATTTAGCTACGAGTGTAACAATACACATTGTATATATTGTACACGTCTGTGATGAACAATTAAAATCATAACTGTACGCTCACTACGCTTTGTGGAAGAATACTAATGGTAGACAGTTCACTTGTTTGATATGTATGTACTACGGTGCGAAACATCTTAAGTGAGTGGTTATTTTGGTTTTTTTTTTTTTTTTTCTTAACTATCAGTGAATGTTTTAGTGGTCCGTTGCTGAACTAGTGAAGAACAAAGTGGGTTGACATCTGAATCAGTTTTTAAAAACATTATGAAATTATTATATTTTCAAATGTATTGAACCATTCTCTAATGTGCTGAGTGTGATGTTATTTCAACACAATCATGCAAGACTGTCAATAGAAAACTCATTTCTACAATCCAAATTAAAGATTTACCATACACAAATATACTTTGGTAAGTGTGTAAATAGTTTGACTTTTAGCAATTCTATTATGTTTAACTTGATACAATGATTTTATTAGATATTTAATAATTACTAATTTACCACTACTATTTACTTTTGCTTGTTCAAAAATTCCTATTAAGTGTAAAAGTATTTCGTGTTTTTATTTTGTTTTAACTGATATGTGATGAAATAGGTAGACACTTTTACCGATAATTCTTAAAGATTTTTAATATGGAAATTGATAGAATTATTAGTTTGTAAATAATGACAAAACAATAAGTCAAAATTGGCTGATAATTCAATTAAAATTCATATTAAAACCATTTTAAAATGTGGTTTCTTATAAATGCTAAAAATATATGTTCAGAATGGATTAATTGGTGCCTAAATAATTTATAAATTACTCTCTGTACTTATATTATAATTCTAGAAATTATTTCATTTGATTAAGTATTCAACTTAACATATTGTTAATAACTTAATTAATTCATATAATGGTTTAAAGTAACAAACAACTCTAAAATGGACTTACTATATATTATTAAAATATGTATCTATATATCACCTACTATATATGTACTATCTCAGTGGTGAATTAGGCCAATTTTTATTTAATGTAATTACTTTTGTATTTATTTTGTATATCTTACTTGCCAATAAATTATTTTTATCTATCTTTATATTTAACTTTGTAACTTATAAATGGTTAAAAAATTAAAAATTTATTTAAAAATTTATTTGAATATTCAAAGCTTTTGAAATATATGTATTATATGGTATATTTATTTGACTAATATGTTTGTACATAAATCAAGAATTCATTTTCAAATTAATTATGTTTGATAGAAAATGAACAATATCTAATAAATTCAAAATTTACTTTATTATATTGTAACAGTCAATTTATTTAATTTTTATAAAAATATTTTTGTATAATTGTAGTTCTGTTGATTAATTACCACTTTCAATAGCCTTTTTCAAAACATCACATAGTTCAGAGAGATTGTAATTTGTATTCTTTAGATTTGACATTTCTTGAATGCGCTTAGTTTTATTACATTTAATATTTTCATTTCTATTAATCATATATTGTTTTAGTTCATTGAGTTTTTTTTTAATTTCTTGTATCATAATAAATGGTATTTCTAAGTCATTTTCAGATTGAGTACTTGAATTAGTTGAATTGGACATTGAATTGCTAGAATATTTTTTAGGATTATCATTATCCAAATCTTTCTTTATTTGTTTCATAATTTTTGTAGATTTTTCAGTGTATTTCAAGCAAGTTAGTAATAATTCACTAAATTTACATTCATTATACTCATTTATTTTTGAAGATTCTCGGCTCTCTTTTATTGTCCGTTCATTTTTTTTTTTTATAGAACTTGGCTCATTTTGCACTTCTTTTTTCAATGGTAGTTTATGTTTACAATCCTTAATATTTAATGTGTTTAAAAAATATTGACATTTATTACTTGTGTCATGATGTAATTCTTGTTCATTTAAAATATCGCTAAATTGGCTATTATTTTTTTCGTGCATTTTATTTGGTTCTTTTTGTAATTTATATATGTTTCTGTTTTCTTTATTTGTTGAGTTTCTTGATCTATTTTTATTTTTGGATAAATCTATAAGTAAATATTTTTATAATAAGTATTGATTATTGTATATAAATTTCCTTTGTTAAAAAATGATGAAGTATGTTTGTATAATATTTTATAACTATTTATACTGTATAACAAAATTTAAAAATTATTATCTTTTTAAATAAAAAATAAAAAATAATATTTTACCAACTAACCAACCAAGAATTAATCCAATTAACTTATTTAAGAATGCATGGTTATTGTTTAATTTACCCTACAAAAATGAAATATACTATACTTTTTTTTAAAACTAACTTAAGAATTTTCAAAATATTTTATATAATCAAAATTAACTGTTCATAATCTCATGTAGGTTACAAGACTTTATGTGGTTAAAATATGTGACAAAATTAACTTTCAAATAATAAAATAAATTTTTAAAATTTGTTCTTTTAAATGTATATATAATTATAGGTGAACAATCCTAAAGTCGGTTTGAATAACATATAGATAAATTAATATAGATTACATAACTAGACTACATATTTAAAAAATGTTTTATTACCTTGTTTCTTAGGCTCTACCAATTGCCTTTCATTTTTAAATTTACTTTTATTTTTACTAATTTCTATGACATTTTTATATTTTCCACAATTTTCTAACTCCATATCTTCTTGAATTATTAAAATAAGTCCTAGTTCATAGTAGCTATTTGTACCTCGAAGTTTAAAACCTCTAACAGATATACTTTGGTCCCAATCACGTCCTATTATTTGAAATTCTTTTAGTTTAATTATTACATGTCCGATTCTTTTTCTTCGGTAAACATTTCCATAACAAATGTTCAGTGTTGTAAAGCATTCAATTTTAACCATTTCATTTGTTGTTCGGCATTGTTTTAATCTATTTTTATCGACTTTCCATATAAATTCTTCTCCGATATTTATCCTATTTCGATTTGCAGCAATGGGTCGACTTTTTTGAGTTTTATTTAGAATCGTTGTTTCAATTTCAATTTCTTGTTCTAGTAGTTCAAAACCAACTACATATTGAATATAAACAACTATGCTTAAATCATTTGATTGTAATTTATTCATTTCTGATAATGACCTATAAATTTAATAAATTTAAGTAAAAGTAGATAATAAATAAATAGTTAAAATAATTTAAACAATTTACCTTTATTGTATTATAATGTAATAGTTTTATCATAAAAATATGTATACAACCATTAATATACACACATATTAAACGAAGTAATCAATAACCAGAAAAATACCATTTTCACTAATTTGAAATATGTATGCTTAGTGACATAGAGATAAAAAACTTTGTGCACCTATTTTGCAAAATAAATCCTTGGTGTTTATGATACCAAAGATGTTATACAAAACATTATTTAGGTTAATTAAATAGTATTTGAGGTACCTATCCATTTATTATCTTTATTTAAGAATAGATAATAATTAAATGTATTTTGTTAAAAAATGATAGAGTATAGAGCAATATTTAAATAGTAAAATTAATAATTTTAATAATTACAAGCAGTGGCGCAATCAGAATTGGTTTTTTTTTTTTTTTTGAGGGAGGGGGTTGTGAATTTAGAAAAAATAAGCAGGTGTTTAGCTGGGATAAGAAAGTTTGATTAAGTTAGGTTTATGAGTAAAATATTTAAATTAAAAATTAAATTTTTTAACTTCTATTTCATATTGTGATACTACAAAAAAAAAGCATTATACAATCGACTATTGACAAATCGTAGTAGCAAGGTTATTGATGTTTTAAAGTTGATCGGAATGTTACCAAACGTCATGTTATTATTTTTATTTATTATATTATGAATAATATTCATATTTTATATCAATCAGCCGTTTTGCATATTCAAGATAAACCATTTTTTTTCCTACGTAGAATTTTTAAAAATCTTAGATAAATTTCCGGGGGGGGGGGGGGTGTTTTCAATCCCCAAACCTTACCCCTAGTTGCACCACTGATTACAAGTAGATAGATGTATGTGTTTAGTATCTCCTTATAATTATATTATAAGTGGTTTTAATTGTTCTGATATACTCATATTTTAAACTCGAGAAAACTTATAAATTCTATTTTACCTTTTGAAAATTACTAAAAATATCGTTGAACAAGGAGAGATATAAGTTATAAAATAAAACTTTAAAACCATTTTTAATTATATATTTAAAAAATTTAAAAATTGCAACCTTTACTTATTCAAATAAATTTTATGATTTCAGTCATGTGTGTAAACTATTTTCAACCATACTATCATTCAACATTTAATTAAAAGTAATAATAAAGTATTGTTCAAATAAGTTAACAATGAATTTCAACTTCGAAAATTGTTTGAAAGAAGGATTCAATAAACTAAAAAGTATGTTTTTAAAAATTCATATTTTTTTATAATTTATATGTTATATATACTCGTATTATTATTAATATTATTAAAAAAACTATTCATAGACATTGTTAAAAATTGTTAATTATTATAAAAAAAATTTTAGTTGAAACTTTCAATAAAAATAAAAATGAAGAAGAATGTTTCATAGAAGCCATGCAACGAGATGAGACCAGAATTGTCATTTTGAAAAGATTATCAAATTGTGATTTACCTGTGTTCTATAAACCTGTATGTATAATAAAACTATACATATAGATAATTTAGGAATTAATTATTAATTCTAATATAGTATCACTATTTGGATTAAAGCAGTAATAAATTATATTTTAAGATTTATAGTTTTATTTTTATTTTTTTATTTTGAGGACCTTTAATATTAGTCATTAACTAGTAAAAATTTCACAGTTGCATATTTTAATAAGAATAACATTAATGTTTTTAAATTTTACTAGTAAAATTTGTATATACCTTATTTTGCTTTTGATTTTTGGTTGGTATACTAATATGTCATAACATGTTATTTTATTTTGATACATATTTCACTTATTGCAACATTAAATGTTTTATTCATTTACTAAAACATGTATGATAGATGAAAAATAATTGTTAGTTTTTTATTAATTATGTTGAATATGGATAAATTTATTTTAAAATCATTACATTAATTTAAAAATGTATTAATAACTTCTATTTTTAGCAAATTACTGAAGAAATAAATCATTTTAAAGCTCAATTAAGATCTGAAGCTCGTGGACGATTTTTTGAAAGAGAACTTTCAAGATTATTAACTAGTGATGAGTTAAAAGTATTATATTTTTACTAAGTAACTAACTTACTAACTAAGTATTATACTAAATTGTAGTAAAATTATTTTGATTTAAACTATATTTGGCTCAACATTGTTTATTTTGTTGATAAAATTAAATTTATTTTTGCATGTTGAAATTATGTTATTATAGAAATATTAAATTTTATTTTTTTAGTACATGTGGACATTGCTTCAAGAACATCAAACATCATTGAATCATTATAATCATAAACAATACTTAAATTATTCAAACTTTAATGAAGTCAAACAAAAGTTAAATGACAAATACAAGTAATAATAACATCAGTAGTTTAAATAACTATAAATACTTATATGTTGGTTTGTTGTTAGTTTTTTTTAATTTTAAATTTAATTTGATCAAATTTCTATGAAGTAATTAAAAATTAAACTAAGAAAGTATTGTAAAAATGATTAAAAATATAATTTATAAGCAGAAAAATTATTGCAGTGTAAAATAAAATAAAAACAAAATTACAAAAAATTACCAGAACTCATTTTTTCAATATTGTTATAGGTTAGATTATGTTAATTATTTATTACTTTCAAATTAATTTTAATAATATTATTAACTTAACAATAGATTTGCACTAAATATTATTATTTATATGGTTTTTATGAAATGTATTTGAAAATGTAATATTTTCATACTAAGTATACATGTGATAATTTCTCCTTTATAATTATTAAACTATTCACACATTATGTATTTTAGATTATTTTTCAGACCTAGTATATTTCTTGAATTACAAGACAATAAATTCAAAGGTTATTTATCCATTGATACATTTTTTAACTATATAATGAAGAAAATATGGATTGATCAAACTAGAAATGGACTCTCTCAATATGATTCAAGTGGCTTTGGTTATCTAAGTGAGGCGGTAATTATATTTTAAATTTTAAATGTTACTCTATCAATCTAAAGTTAATATAATGTACCTTTATAAATATAAAATATTGAATTAATTTTAGGATTTTGAAGCTTATATTTTAGATCTCATACCTACATTAACACAATTGAAGAAACTTGAAAAAATGTTTTATTCTTTTTATGCATGCATGGTTGTAAGAAAATTTTTTTTTTACCTGGACTCTCTGCGTACTGGTAAAATACGAATTTTGGACATTTTATCTTGTGGTTTTCTGGATGAACTATTAGAGGTATATGTTTAGTCAAATTAATTATGTATCATAAATTTAATTAAAGTTGACATTTTTTTAAAAATATTTTGATAAATAAATAAATAAAATCTAATAGATTATTTTTATTTTTATTTAGCTTCGTGAAGAATCATGGAGTAAAGAACAACAGAAAAAAAATTGGTTTTCTGTTCCATCAGCTATTCATATTTATTCATCATACTTAGAATTAGACAAAGATCATAATGGTTTGTTGAGTCGACAAGAAATAGCTGGGTATACATTAATTTATAAATTAAGGAATAATCCTTCATATTATATTATATCTATAAATTATGTTTCAATTCTATAATTCTGTATAGGTATAAATCAGGTTCTCTTACTTCAGTGTTCCTTGATAGAGTGTTCCAAGATTCATTTACATATGATGGTGAAATGGACTATAAAGGTTATTTGAACTTTGTTTTGGCCATAGAAAATCGTCATGAACCTCAAGCATTACGATATTTATTCAGATTTTTGGATATAAAAAATCAAGGATATTTGGATGCATTCACTATTAACTATTTTTCTCGGGTAATGTCTTATATAACATAATATATATGTAAAAACATATAAATGATATCTTACACATTTTAATTAGTATAAAAATTATAACCCAAATACTAAGACAGTTTATGAATGCCAGAAGGTTTATTTATTAAGGTTATTATTTACTGAATTTTCGACATTTAATTTGTTTTATTTATATTTATAATAACATATTTGATGTTATATTTTTCTTTATTCTCTAAATAGTTGTTATTTAAATTTCAATAGTTTAATACTATACAGAAAAAATATTTTCTGCTAATTAAAATTAAAATAAAAATATAGAATTTATTCAATGAAATAAATGTTTTTGTATAATATACAATTAATACTTTTTAATTTGTTCTAAATTACTATAATAATGTATATTTACATTAAATATCAAATATTTTGTATAAAATTTATATCTTTATATTGATATTTGACTTGTATTGGAATTAGTTGTGTATTATGTTTAATATATAAATAAAAATGAGATATTTTATTACTTTTACAGGCTGTTGCTGAGAGATTACCGCAAGAACAAAGACAAATGGTTTCATTAGATGATATAAAAGATGAAATTTTTGATATGATTAAACCTAAAGATCCTATTAAAATAACTTTAAAAGATATTATTGAAAGTGGGATGGGACATATATTTATAAATATTTTAATTGATTTTAATGGGTTTTGGTCTTATGAGTTCAGAGATACTTTAGCAGCCAATCGTGTTACTGATAACAAGGATTTTAATGAAAGTTTTGTTCAACATTAACTAATATTCATACATTTTAAAGATCTGTAATCCGATATTTAATCTTTAATTAATTCATTTATTTAAGTGAAATATATAAATGTAACCATTTTACTTAAATAAATTAATTATTTTTATTTAAATTCACTTAACAACTAAAAAAGTTGAGTGAATTTTTATATATTTTATGATTGTTTATATATCAGTATTATTTTAAGACTTAAAGAAAGTAATTTAGATTAATTGATTAATATATATTATTATTATAAATTGTATGATCTCATTAATAAATTGAACAAATTATATGATTTCTATAGTTTATATATATTTTTATTGTTTTTTATTGTTTTAATTAATATAAATCTTAAAATAAAAGTTAAATTCATGTTAATATAACATCTATTGTTTAAAATATAAAATATTTCCGAGTATTTAAGTAATTAAAATTAATTGACTTAAATATATTATTATTACACATTGTATGATCTCATTAATAAATTAAACAAATAATATGATTTCTATAGTTTATATATATGAATTTTTTTATTGTTTTAATTAGTATAAATCATAAAATATAAGTTAAATTCATGTTAATAAAACATCTAACATTTAAATAATTTTTAATACGATGAATTATTCTTTTAAATGTTTGAAATATTTCAGTATTTTAATGAAGTTTATTTTTCATTTTTTAAATAAGTTTTTTTTTACACAAATTTCTATTTTTTTTTTCATATTTATAATAATGGGTAGAACAATCACTAATAACCCAAAATAATGGTTTTTTTTGATATTTCATTTATTGTGTTAAAGTGTTAAAATGTTAAAAATGTGGTTTAGTTTACGAGTTAAATTTTTTATTGTTATAAATTGTAATAATTACATAATTATAATAGATTTATTATGTTTTTTCATACTATCGAAATACTTAAGAAGTATTTAGCATTATATTTACTCATGTCTAGACTTAATTTGATTAACGTTTGAACAGTAATAACTTATATGACTAATAATAATGATTTTGCATTATTAAATTTGTAACTTTTTAGTAATACCTAATTATAATTGTATAAAAATAAATCAGGTACAGATTTCTTGTAATACAGTTATAATGCTATGATTATGATTATAAAGAATTAACTCCTTAAGTGTTATATTTATACTTAATTATATGCTTTTTTAAAAATATTAAATATGCTTATGTTTTATAGGAAATTAAACTAAGTTTCACTATAAACATTATAATGCTCAGTGAGGCCCTTTTTTTTTTCGAATATATAATTAAATAATACCAATAATAGAAAAATAATTAAGTTTCAGTATGTGGTGAAATATTTCAAAATTAAATTTTTTATTTAAATTATTTCACATGAATCATTTTAGACTCCGACTAAGAATTATTACTTTTTTTTTTTTTTACTTGATCTTAATATTATATAAAGTATATTCAGTATATTCACTAAATAATCTCGTAACAGTATTTCCTATACAATGTTGACAATTGATTGTACCTAAATCAATGCTATTTTTGTTTACAATTATTTCTTTATTAAATTACCGAAAATATAACAAACTATTCAAATTTAATGAATGTTTATTTATTAAACATAAGTAGTAAGTTATTAATATCATGTTATCATTTTTATTGTGATGGTTTCAGTGATAAGTCAAAAAGTAAATTAGACTACTGATTGTAAAATTAGTAGATATTTTACAAATATTAAATTTAATTTGCATATACAAATACATAATATTAAATAAAAATTTTAAAGTAAAATGTAACTAATATATAAATAAATAAACAAATAGTTAAATTATAAAAATAAATAAATGCTTAGCTTGGAGTTTAGTTATATGTGTATATTACAACTGTTTCAAATTAAAAATACATCATCAGATATGTACAAATTCAATAAAATCACGACTGAATACCAAAAAATAAGGATGGTTAGATTAAGAAAAATTGGTTGTTTTATATGGAGATAATTTATTTTTAAGACCAAAGATACCAAAGATTGGAAATGAGTTCTTATTAGACATATGTCTTGTTTTATATTAAGAAATTTAAAAAAATTGAATATTATTATTTATTATTATTTAAAATGTGCTGTTTAAAGATATTATTGTTAAAATTGGTTTGTACATTTAAAATATTATAACTACTTTCTTTTATTATATTGTACATGTTTAATTTTTCTAAAAACTGAATTAATGTAAATGTTATTTTTATTATTTAATAATTCTAAATCTGTATTGATATCAAAATGTTTATTATGATTATTTTCTTAAACATATATTGCAATATTTGAATTAAGGGCAATTTATTTTAATTCAGAAATGTGTTAATTTTATCTTATTTTAAAATTTTTATTTGTTTTACCTATATAAAATATATTACAATTGAAACTGTTTATATGTACCAGAATTTTTAAAATAAGTGGGATTTTAAAATTTTTTTTTACATTATTTGCATTATTGTTTATAATTTTTACGAAATTTTTATTTATTTTATTTTGATATTTCATATAACAATAGTTAACTACATTAATTGGTGAGTTGTATTTTATTTTTTCTTTAATACGTTTATGAATATTTTTAATAATATTTAAATTGAAATTATTTTATCGGCTATATTATAGATAATATTGAGTTTGTGCTGATAATTATACTTATTTAATGGATTATGTTCAAGTTTATAGAATATTGAAATTAAAAAATTATATCTTTTGAAAATAAGGGTGATTAGAATCATGTAGTATTATAGCATCATTTTGTGTAGGTTTTGTATAAATAATAAAATTCAAATATACTATGGAAACAGTACGATATAAGAAATTAAATTTATTATTTATTTATATTTCGAGTTTAAATTGAATGTTTTTTTTTTATTTTATTTTATATATTTAATTAAATTTTCTGCTTGTCTATTTAAACCTCTAAATGAAACGAAAGTGTCATCAACATATTTATAATATGCTTTGATGTGTAGATTGTATATTTTGTTTTGAATAAATCATTGGTTTTATAAATTTGCATGTAAATTTCAGATAAAAAAGCACTTAAATGTCTGAAATTAAACTCTATACTAAACCTTTTTGTGAATATAATTTTTATTATTCTAGTGGAAATAGTTTTGATAAATTATATTTATTTATAAATATATATTTAAAGTCGCATTAAGATCTAACTTCAAGTTCAAGTCGGAACTGATTAATCATGTGATTTACCCAAAACTATTATAGTTATAATTATTGTAAAGTTATTGTAGATTTTACTAATTTAGGGGTGAAACTAAACAAATTTTTAAATTGATGCAAAATAAAGCATTTTTTTGGGAGAGGGAAGAGGTAAAATAGTTTAATTTGCGGTTCATGGGCTGGTTTGTTTCATATTTCTTGGGCCGAAAATAATTGCCAATCCGTCCCTGATGATATCAGGAAATCTGAATTATAAGGCATCCTTCCACTTATCTTGAGCCATTTCGATCATTGTTTATAGCTCGTAATATGGCGAAACAATTACTAAATATACTCCGGCAATAAAATATCTATTTTGCAATAACTCAAAATTAATAATATATGAACTAATTACATGGTATGAAATTTAATTAAAGTATTACTAAACTATTTAAAACATTTGAAATACGATTTTCATAATAATGGTTTTTATGCATTTCGTAGACAATTATGAAAAATTAGTGAATAATATCAGAGAAGAGGAATCTGTGTACTATCTTAAACTTCTTAATATGCCACGTTCATTGAAATTTTAAATAGTTTCCTTTGATTACATCGAAGTTACCGTCATTCACACTCGCACTAACAAAAGGCAACAACCGACTTTTCCAATTAGGTACGCTAAAATTATTATTATTGTTATAACAATAACAATAGTATATATAGGTACTCTAAATGTAGATGATAACAAAAGCTAAAACTGATTAATTAATAAATAAAAAAAAAAACATTATTTTCATAAGGTAGAGCAGGTACCTATAATGACAATTTATTATGTTTTTGTTTTATGAATTTAAAATTAGAAAATTGTATACCTATATTCATACTACGCGATAATTACATTCTAGATTTTTGAAAGATATTAATTTAAATTGTAACCGTTGTGTAGGTACTGTAGCTCATGGTATATACTAGGTTCCTATTTATTCAAGTACACTGTACATGTGATTTTCTCGGTTTTAGGTTATAATCTTTTTTTGTTGAATAAATTGAATTTAACGCAATTCGGTACATAATAAGTATATTAACCATCAATTATATAATTGTATTTTGTTCCTACAGGTAAAATTTCTATTGAAAATATTTTAGAATAAAAATCGTATTATTAAAAGCTTTAATTATCTATACCTTTCTGATCTGAAGTAAAATAAACAGTTTTAACCGTTTGTTAAAGCAATATTTTGTATACATATTGTACACATACAGTTTATAGATATTCATTATGTACACGTAATTATGACATTTTAAATACATTGTAGAAATAAATGTTGATTAAATATCTTATTTATTTTGTGTTTATCTTAATGCTATATTGTTATTAATGTTTTTTGTTAATCTCATAGGTGCATAAATGAAGTAGTCTTCCAATACGTGAGCTCGTAACCTACATCGTTCATGTGAAAATTTTGAATTTTCTAGATTCAATTCGTATATGATGATTATTTATCCTTGTAACTTATTTATAATCATGGCGAATACCAAACGCATTGGAAATCGTAATTTTTAAACGTTTGAACGGAATTGGCACGTCGGTGGATATCATTAGAATGTGTGAAAATGGAACATCGTGTCCTCTAAACTTTCCGTTAAATATGGCCGTTTCAATGAATTTTTTATCATTTAATAAGAATTTTTATCTACGGTTGGTTGTAGAATTGATGCTTACCGCAGAAAAACAAATAGTTCCGAAGCCAAAGTGCTGGTAAAACTAAGATATTCATTTTCGGTTTATATAAATATAATATATAAATATTCTCTGAAGTCACTAAACATTTTTTCTCTATTTTATTTCTTAAATACGATATTATTCTAATTATTTAAATAAAATCATAATTAATGTCTTAATATGGTCCCA